GAGATCATAGATCCAGCTCTCGGATCCAAGCACATGTCTGCACCAGGCTGCAGCGATATCGTCTGTTCGCGGACGGTGAACCGGCTAATTCCGAGCCCGAAGACCCGCAATCACGTCGGCAATTGATTGAGTCCGACGTTTGTACGTTTTCCCGCCGGCACCGCGCTGGCTGGGGTGGTAAGTGTACGGCAAAACTGTGACGGAGAGGAGACAGACGTACTGTGACAGGGACAGACTGTGCCGGGTAGACGGACTGGACGATCTGTGACCGACGGACTGTGAACAGATGGTCTGTGACGGGACAGCCGGACTGATACAGACGGAATGTGACATACGGACTATGACAGGGAGCAGACGGATTGTGGTAGGGACACTGCTGGACTATCGCATATGGTAGACGGACTGTGACAGTAACAGACAGACTGTGGCAGATGTACTGTGACAGAGACATAAATAAGTATTTATATAAATAGAAATCATAATATCTTATATAAATAGTCCGTCTGTCACAGTACTGTGACAGACGGACTATTTATCTATTTTATTCATCCATTCAAGAAACCATCAACTGGGTGAACCCCCACACTGCCCAGACGAAGTCGAGTTATGACATGTGGCAGACGGACTGTGACATACGGACTGTGACATACGGACTGTGACATATGCACTGTGACATATGCACTGTGACATACGGACAGTGACATACTGACTGTGTCAGGGACAGACGGACTGTGACAGGGACAGGCGGACTGTGACAGGTGACAGACGGACTGTTACAGTAACAGACGGACTTTGACAGACAGACGGACTTTGACAGACAGACGGACTATGACAGATGGACTGTGACAGTCCAGCTGTGACAGGGATAGACTGACAAATGACAGACGGACTGTGTCAGAGGTCATGAGGCTGCGGCAGGTGACAGAGGGACTGCTACAGGGGACAGGCAGGTTGTGAGTTGTGACAGGGAATAAACGGACTTATACCGGACTGGCTGTGGCCGTGGACAGATGGACTGTGACAGGCGGACTGTGACAGACGGACTGTGACAGATGGGTGGACTGTGATAGACGGACTGTAAGAGGGATCTTATTCGGTAATGTGTGCTCTATCTATTTCCGATCTTTTGGGTTTTTATCTATTCATGGCACATTGGGGTGCGCTGTGCACCATCCAGTTTCCATTCCCGTTCCATTTGTGGGCAGTGCGTACTAACCTCTATTATTCAGCTGTCTAAATGTTCCATCCATTCCTATTCTATCCATACTTGGTTCGTATGTGTGCCCTGTTCATTCCTCATCCATTTCTGTATCGTCAGTGTGCTCCATCACCCGTGTTCACTGCTCCTGCTCCATCTGCGTCTTTCCGGCCAGGCTGCCAGCCAAGGCAGGGACTCCCCGGCGACGTCCCTCGGCAGGCCGCGGGCCGGGTCGGCCGTCACATCTAGCGCACTTCCTGCCGGCTGATTGCACCCCTCCTCCCTCCACTAATGTCAGATCGATGCAATCGTGCACGCGTCGTCCACATTGTCCCCGGGGTCCGCGGACCGGGGGCCGTCTCGGAGGCCGACCGGCCGCTGTGTTTGCGCATCTATTTGGCTGCTATTGGGGTGGTTGGCCGTCGTGCCGCACGTGCCGTCAAAGGGGGCCGCCAGCGCCGGCGGCGGCGCGCCAGCCGCATTAAAACGGGCACCGGTCGCCATGGTAACGACGCAGAGCGACCGGACGATGCTCGGTGGTGCGGGCACAAGTGGCCACGCTCAACATCTGGCTAACGACTTGGGATCGCCACGGGGGCACCTAGGAGGGAGCTGGCGGCCCCGCTGGACGGCTGGGCGCAGCGGGGAGCGGCGCGAACGGCCCTCAGGGGTGTCCTCATCCGCCGGCACCGAGGGCAGCGCGCTGATGGCGGCAAGGCTGCCGGTACAGACGCGTAATGCACTGTCACCGCGTGTGTTACGGGATAGGTGAGCTATCAGTCTAACACTGGGCGCTAACTGCTAGCTGATACTCACATGGCCCAGCCCATACAATTGAGCGTTAGTCATTCTGTGCAGTCTTCAGAAAGATAACGGTGCTTCCTGCCGTCTCTTATCAGCGAAGTAAAGCCGAATTGATCTGCACACTGATAGCTGCACGGCATCTGCCTGCTGGGGTCTAAAGTACAGACCGATCACCGACACCCCCCGAGCACGAGCTGCAATGGTCTATCAGTCCAATAACCTGCCTGCTAGGTCAACAGCTGCTGGGGTTTACAGAACTATACTCTTCGTTTGTTCGGAGTCTTCGGACCGATGCCCTCCGTCTGCCCGCGTCTCCGGGGCTCCCCGCGCCTTCGGCGATCGTCGGCCGGTGGTCGCGCCCGTCGCCGCCGTCCGGTAGCCGATTTATACAGTAATCAGTAGATGGCCGCCGGCCTCCCTTGGGTCCATTAGTGCTGAGGGAGTGGCGCTCCCTCCGAGAGCCCCTGCCGACCGCCTCGTGCCCGAGTAGTTATACCCGGGCTGAGTCACGACTCTGAGTCCGAGTCGGCGAGGCGGAGGAGCATAAGGCGACTGGTGTTATAAATCTAGCCCGAGTCGACGCCAGAGGCATAGTCCCAAGTACCTACTGTAATAACACGCATGGCCTCCAGTATGGCAATAACACGCGTAGTCCCCAGCGGTGTTGTATCACGGCATATGCCTCCATTTGTGTTATATGGCAGGGCTAAGCCAACGCTGCAGGTAGCAAAGCCCTCAGTAGCGTTATGTTCATAGTCAGCCGTCAGCTTGATCAACCTGTTGTCGCATGAAAGATCGCACAGTCTCCATTACTTCTGTCCAAAAGTGTCCACTGCTTCTGTCATCTGCAGTAACAATAACTATGGAGACTGAACCTGTGGTCCGTGAAATATTCACTGAGTCGCATAACTTTTATCGTGTCACGGTAGCTGCAAGTTCTGACTGTATGTCTGCCTGTGTGCTTGCGTGTATGTACAGTCGTCTGCAGAATGATGCTCCACTCCTAAGAATCTATCAGTTCACTGGAACGCTAGGTTTTGCCGTTTGTAACGTTAATTTCGAGCGTCGGGTCACTGCATTTAACTGTAAACTCAGCCCGTGTGATGTGGTACACAGCCTACCACTCCAGGCAACTGTTTGCCTGAGAAAAGTGGAGCGTCATCCTGTAGTCAACTGTACAATGTACATGCATACATACCTACGTTATAAAAGCATATCCGTCTGTACGTCTGTCCGTAATCCGTATGTGTCCGTCTGTCTATCTGTCTGTTCTGTCTGTTTGTCTGTCTGTCTGTCTGTCTGTCTGTCTGTCTGTCTGTCTGTCTGTCTGTCTGTCTGTGTCCGTCCGTCCATCGTCTGTCTGTCTGTCTGTCTGTCTGTCTGTCTGTCTGTCTGTCTGTCTGTCTGTCTGTCTGTCTGTCTGTCTGTCTGTCTGTCGGCCGAGCCTTCAGTAATGCTCCCTCCCCTAAACCCCACCACCACAGCCAGAGACGGCCGCCCGCGGCGTTCACGCGACGGACGCAATAATGGCGCGCCGGAGACAGTCCCGGCGCGCTGCTCACTCGCCGGTGCCGCATTTATGCGTGTCTGTTGAACCGTGCTCCGCGACTCGTCTGCGGGCCGGCTAAAAAGGCGGCCGACAGTGCGCCGTGGTAGGAGCCGCCCGTCGGGTCCGGCACCTGTGTCTGTGCCGACACCGGAGCGTCGGCGACGGAGCTGTGAATACCACCAGCGACGACACGCCGCCGAAAACGAGCCGTAAAAATCCCCACAAGTATTCACAGGATTCGCATGAATGACCGCGAACACTTCGGCAGCCGCCGATGCTCTTTTCTCTATCAGAGGGGAGGTCTATCTGTGAGCTTTGTGAGGCCAGTGGAGGAGGATAAGGCTGTGTGAACCTTGAGCGGTCCTGGGAACTATTTAATCAAATTCACTATTATACACTGGATGTGATGTGGTGGTATTCAACGGGTCCCTCAAAAGGCGGGTTTATTCAGCTCATCACATTCAAGGATCAGTTCAAACTATTCAGTGTTCATTGTTGCATTTACAGCTGAGACATATTACACGGAGGAAATGCGACGCAATGGCTCATGTTGAATAGTGTATTCATCTGAGACCTTGTGGCCTTATTCATATGTGAGTGCCCTGTGGTCTTCAGTAGAACTTTCACTCCAAAACTCTTTTTACACTTCATGGTTTAATTGTTGGTCTTTTTTGCTACTGTTTTAAAGCTCTTTGTCGAATAGCGTTAGTTAGAAGCCATAAAGTGGCAAGTAACGAAACCACTGGTGCTAAATGCAACGACACAAAGAGGCATGAGACACGTTTACACGTTTAGTGCGGACAATATTTAAACTTCTATTGCCACGACCTCAGTTTCATTTTGATCCCTACTCCCTATATCGAATTACGTACCCAAAGCACAGGCAGGGTTGTGCTCGACTCAAAAAAATTTGCCGACTCGACTCATCATTCAACTTCAGAATGCCCTGACTCAACTCTGACTCAAACAAGGAGCTGAGTTTTTTCCTTGACTCGACTCATGACTCAAGCGGCTCAATGAAAATATGAGTTGACTCAAACTTGACTCAAATTTTTTGTTGAGTCAAGTGCCTTGACTCAAAATCGACTCAGATAAAAAAGTTGTTGAGCGGGGGGGGGGTGAAAAAATCCGGCAGCAGGGCCAGGCCTAAGTTTTTAAGCGGGGGAGAAAGAAAAACTTATACTATATATTGTTTCTAGTAAGTTAAGTCAGCTGACTCATGTTCCTAAATGTTTTTGACTCAACTCAATGTCAAAAGTTATTTTACTGACTCAACTCTGACTCAACTCAACACCTTAATATTTTTGTCTGACTCAACTCTGACTCAACTCAACAGCTCAACATTTTATCCGACTCGACTCAAATCTGACTCATTTGATTCAGAGTTGAGTCAAATTTCTGACTCGACTCATGAGTCAAGCACAACCCTGAGCACAGGATAATCAGGAGTTAGATATTGCGTACAATGTTTATTTTAACCGTAGCGTATCACCATGATTAATTAGCCCCGTCCGAGGGACAACTAAATAAACAAGAATTTAGTCGGTGACTATCCAACATAACATTTAAGCCGAAGGACATGGCCACACGGCACGTTTTTATTCATTCATCACAGGATACGGACGAACTTCTACTTGAGGTACACGTTGATGATGTTCTCCACCAGCCAGTCGATGCTGAATTCCAGGTGGTCCCCCTCCGTCGCCAGCATCGCCAGTTTGCCGTCTGTGTCCAGCTGTTGCAGGCCCAGGTAGTCCTACCACGAGAGAACAGTTTAATAGGAACTCACGTGTGTGTGTATGAAAACCATAGGCGGCGGAACGGGGAGGGCACCGGGGCACCGTGCCCCCCTTTGATTTTGGCATTTAAACATTAGCCCTATGGGCGTTGCATGGAAAGAATGGGACCAAAAGTCGGCAGTGCCCCCCCCCCTTAATTGAAGGTGTTCCGTCGCTACTGGTGAAAACTGAAAACAGTCCCATATGAGATAGCGCAAATGCTACGAGGATCAAAACGGCTATATAGTATTTATTAAAGTATCTATTCATTTTTGTGTGCTCGTTTGTCATTCCTCATTCGTAGGGTGCGTTTGCAAGCATCCCGTCTTCCTAATGTTTGTTTCGTTCGCCGAAGGGCGAAGGCACACGTTCTACGCCTAGAAGTGATGGCTAGGACTCAACCGATCTACACTTTTTACCTCATTTTATGATTGAACGACAACAACAATGTTAAGGAAAAAAATAGATGAACCAATAATGTGATTCGCTATACCCGCACGGCCGATGAGCTGGCGCACCCGACGGCCGACATCCGCTGTGGGGCGTCCAAATGCGACGCCCGCGTCATCTATAACAACCAGCCCGACCGACCTGTGACGCGGTGGCGCTCTGGTGCACTCACCTCCGTGTAGATCGGGGTCTGCTGCAGCGGCACCACCACCTGGTCTTGGCCCAGGGCGTAGAAACCAAAGTGAGAGGACTCGCGCGGCACCACCATCGTGTCGTTAGAGAACATCACCAGCACCAAGTTCTCCAGCTTGTTCAGGTTTTCCTTGTACGTCTCGTTCTTCACATCCTGTGACGAAAGGACGAGTCAATAGCCGATTCAGATTTCAGAATCGTGATAAACTGAAACAAATATGACAATTACGTCCAAACACTCCAGAAAATGTAACTTTATGTAAAGGATAAGTAGTAAGTGCTTTGAAAATATCAAATCAACATCCGTATAGCTCAGTCGGTAGAGTGTTCGACTCCGCGTGGTAGCGTAGCACGCGTTCCCGGTTACAACAGTCCGGGTTCGAAGCGCGACGGGCGCTTGACGTGGGCCTCCTCCTGACAGGTATGGTTGCGGTTGGTGGCAGGCCGTAGCCAGGCGAAGTCAGTGAGGGACCGGCTGTGCGCGGCTACGTGCGCACGTTAAACTTTAGACTCTAAATTGTGCCATAGAACTGGAATTGCGCGATCGGAGGGTAGAGGGCAGGGTTACTGCAACAAGCTTCGCTTAGCGGTGGCACTGTCCTTGTGAATCCTTCCTATCAAAAGGTTCGGACTAAATTAGAAAAAAAACATTAATCAGCAATCAGCATGCTTCCCGCTTGAAAATCAACAAAGTCAAAGTGAAGCCCCTTATGAAGAAAATGAAATGGCGCTAATCTGTATTGGGTGACGTGAATTTATACAAGTGAGTCGGTAACTTACGAAGCCAATGAAGCATGTAGAGTGTTATTTGTTTACTTTACTGATAAAAATGAACCCTTTTTAGTTAAGGTTCGCTCGATGGTCAAAGGAATCCGGGCGGCTTCCTTGTTTATGCAATGATCCCCGAGCCAATCCTATCCGGCGAACGCTCGCTTTCTACGACGAATAAGTCGTTGCAGCTTAATTACAGCGACGGACCTACTCGACACAATGACAGCCTAAGACGCATGGGAGCATGGTGCTTGACCTCTAGCTGCACGTCACAAGTCCCCGAGCCGGCTCACCCGTTCGTTGTTGATGTCGGCGAGGAACTGGGACACCTCGACATACTGCTGCTGTTTGAGGGGGTCGTGCCAGTACTGGGCCTGCGCCAGATGAGACTGCACGAAGCTGGAAATGACAGGACGGGTATACGTGCGCGTCAGATTACATGGCCGTTTCGCGGTGAATGAAATACCCCACTGCAGACGACGGTTCCGGGCGTAACCCGTATTAAAGTTTCTCTTCATTCTGTTTCTTTTTTCCTTTCGGGTTAGGTATACTGAGGTAAAAAGCTATTAGGGGGCTAGTAAGAAAATGTGCGCTCAGCTAGTACATACAAAAACTTAGCCACCGCCACGGGTACACGGCATATCGGAGATAATGTAGCATTAGCTGGTGAGAAGCACCGCAGGCGCACAAGGTGGCGCCGTTCCCAGCCTTGAAACTGGGCCTCGCCCACCAAATAAACTCTCCCGACTTCTTGCCCGTCTCACATATGAACTTTAAAGAGGACAGCTTGGAGCCAGAGCCATTGGCCAATATTGGTATTATATGATAGCGTGCTGATTCTGAATTACTTGATTAGGAAAAACGAAAGTCCAACAGATAAGACTGCATCGTCGCATAGGAGGAATATCAATCTATTTGCTTCTTTTCTTTGGATGGAGACTTTCACTGGCGTCCAACTGGTGTCTAACTGAGCAGACGTCCAAGCTGGCGTCTAACTTGGCGTCTAACTGTTGGACAGAGACTTCCAAGCTAGAAACGTCTGAAGTTAGCTGTCGTCAGATAGACGCAGCTGCCGTCCAGCTAGGCGTGTCTAAGGCTTAGACGCGTCTAGCTATAGACGCGAAATGGAAGTCTCCACCCTTTGTTTTCTAGTTCATTGTCTTCATATTTCCTACATGTCAAATGTCAATTTACTCAGGTATCTGTGCCTAAACCTAGTTTTCTATTCCAATATGAGTCCATTAAAATCAACCTATGCGATAAGACTGACGTGTTGAATTTCGTCCGGTACCAGTAACCATCTGCACTATTGCCAGTAATTCACACTTCACGATTCACATGTTATTTCTGACTGACCTTATTTCAAGCTCGACGCCATCCGATAAACCGACGGCACTGATAAGTGAAAGTGTTACAACAAACGGCACTGTTACGGTGATTTACCTTTCATAAGCTCCATAGTCGAGCAGCTCCCGAACGATTTCGCAGACACCCTCAGTACCGAGACAGTTGGGGAGTCCGAACACGCCCTGGTGCTGGCCACCGAACGTGATGAGGTTCTTCATCGGAGGGCTGGGGCACCGCTGCGCCACCGCCCGCCTGACCTCACACACACCACACCAGGTCAAGGTCAATGACACAACGAGACAACACGCGCACAATATTTATACCTACATATTTATCGAATCCCGCATGCGAGGTTTTGTACACATGCACATTCAACGAGTTACGAGACATCTTGAGCGTGCTGATTTACATATACGAACAAATAAAAATTCGATTATGGTCTTCATGAAATTTAAAATTAAATGGGAGAGGGTACAAATAATAAAGATATTCATTCAGCACGCATAACAGCATTCGGTACGATGTCATGACTGCTTCAACTTCTGTCTACACTCACAGAAACTGTCCTCCCTGGGAGAAGCCCATGGCGTTGTAGCCTCCCTGGAGGCTCTCATCAGCAGCGATCTTCTGACAGGCCTCCTCCACTTGGGCGTCGATCGGCATGAAAAAGCCGTTCAAGGTGTCCTGGGGGCGGTCATCTTCACTTAGCTGTTTTCTCAAGAGTACTGTTTGTGCGCATTTATTAAACATGCATACATATATGTAGGTAAAATTGGCCCGCGGAGTGTGGTGAAGAGAGCACCGATAACTAGGAAAAGCGTGAAGCTTGTTGTGAATTTGTTTACATATTTGTAGCTACCATGCATGTCTCACATCTATGATGTTGGGGCCGATCATCAGAGATCGCACGTAGACGCCGGGAATGTTCTCCTCCACAGTCCGCTTGATCATGCCCATGCTGGTCGGAAGGCAGCACGAATCCCCTGTGGATAGTCGAGACATGTTAATTAATGAATGAACCGAAAAAGGAACTGTTCGCCGAGAAAACTTCGGAAGGCTCATCGCTGCTAAGTTGTCTCACGTCAGCTTTATTGACAGAGCTAGTGGAAGGATTGATTGCCAGTTGTCGCTGTTCACCAGAAATCCGGCAAAGATATTTCTTAGGCGTCTTTCTACTCACCCATTCCATGCCACAGAATGACGGGCGTGGGCTCCTGCGCCGCCGCTGTCACCAGCAGCAGGCTCAGCGGCAGGGTCCAGGAGACGGCCATGGCGGACGAATAGCGGCTCCTCTCGGCTCAGCACCGGCGGCGACTGAGAGCGCCCGCCGTGAGACTGTCCTTATGGGAGAGCCGTGTCAGATATGGCCGACCCCACCCCGCTGGGAACCAGCCACCTGTGCCGCGCTCAGTCCCCGCCCAGCAGAGGTGGATTAGACTTCCGAGTGTATTTGATATTTTAGACTGAATTCCTAGTGAAGCCGTCCAAATCTTGCTCACGACGAAGGGAACTAGTGGCCCTATCGTCTTGTCTTCAACAATGCACAGAAAACGGAATTATTAGGGATTTGAAAAAAAAAAACATTCGAATGCTTGTTTTCCTTAGCATGTTATATTATACCTAATCATAATCAGCACTTGGGCAGTTGGCATTAATGATCCCCGGTACGTTTATTGCCGCTGGGCCGCTGTCTATCGGACTCGGTCTCTTCCACTGACGTGCCCTGTCCAATACCGGTTGCCCCGCGACACCCCAGGGTTCCCACAGGAGCGTGTGCCTTGTGACCGCTGGGGGGGGGGGGGGGGGGCACCCAACGGCTACGGCCATGCGGCCCAGTTGTCCACCGACATGGCAGGAGTCTGGAAGCGCTATGTGACACGTTCACTGGCAGCTGTGGTGTTTGTCACGACCTCTGCGCTTCTGCTCTGCTCAAACGGCCGTCTACGGCTCACATACAGGTAAACAATGAGCAGTGTGTGCTGTGTGTACTATTTGCTTTACATGATTTATAACGTACAGCCCACCGCTAAAGTAATGTAGGGTTTTACCAATCTCAACGGTTGGCTTTGACTGGCGATTGTTTAATGCGGAGTGATCGAAAAGAAGATGTCAATGGCTAAAGTTGCAGCTGCAAGGGTGACGATACATATAAGCTACATTCAAAGTTTCATTGTAGTCTGGCTAATCGTTCCTAAGCTTCAGAAGCAGAACATACCCATGACTGAAACCCCACATTACTTCTGCTGTGGACTGTACGGGTGGCCCAGAAAAAACGTTCCGAACTTTGGAGGCCTATATATCAAATACGAGTACAAATAACGAGCCAAAATTTTCATCAAGTTTGCGTCACTTCTTTGCGCATTGGTATGCCAAATTATAACACTATACCATCATTTCCAAGCTGGCAATCTTGAGTTGAATTAAGCAAGACGTTTTTGCTTTTTTTGCCGATGTCAAACGATAGTGATGATTGGGTTAGACGTCCCATGTTATACAAAAGAATAAAAATAGAGCACCTGAATGAAACCAACACGTATGTTCTTATTTTAAATATTTTTGTCTCACTTAGGTGCCAAATATTCAAATACTGAGCCATGGATGTCATTCGTTTCAAGTTTCAACACCAAATCATGTTTCGAGCAGGAGTGGCACGGTGCATGGATTACTGCTGATTACCCTCCTTTCAGTAGATCAAACAGTAAATCGACCGGACAAGGAAAACAAACTAAAGCAGACTGGTTCCTGTGCCAGAAGACCACAGAATAGCTTATGAAAAACAGCATTGCCAGCAGATGACAAAAACAAAACTGGTTGAAAAGCTACCTTTTCCCAGGAATGTCAGCCAAGAAAGCATTTGAGCCACAAGATGGTTAGAAAACTGGAAACTTCTTCCGATGCCGCTGGCACAGAGCCATCGTGGTTGCCTGAGGGAAAGTGTCATCCTGAGACCCGAACCATCAATGAGACTAGCTGCCAGTAGAAGTCATGGCTCTAGGCCGCGGTGCCGCGTGGTGAAAGTGACCCGTTCACTCACATTTTTTAGTAAACATCAGAGCAAAAAAGTAATTTTTACATGGCATGCTTGAAACACAAACCGTTTACAAAGTTATTTACCGAACACCATGAAAATCACACCATTTACTGAAAATGTGTGCCGCATTGACTATTCGAAGTTTCAATGTTGTATCATTATCACTCTCTGAGAAATATTGATTTAAAGTTGGGAACGTTTTTTCTGGGCCACCCGGTATAGGGTGTAGTGAATGGGGTGTGAAGTGAACGATTATCTTTTACGCTTCGGGGTGTTTTTCCACCATTCAAATGACTCCGTTAAAATCTGACAAAATAGATATGCGGTTTACAAGCAAATTGAGAAATGTGATACCTCGTAAATGTTACTCACATCTCATCCTACTCAAAACTCCATTGTTGTATGTTTAAGATTGTTCTCTCGACCTGGGAGCCACCGTCCAGACATTCATGGACGAAAGTATTCAAATACGAGACTGCTGCCGACCAACCAAACGGCAGGGGTTGATGGGGACGAGTTTGTCAGACGCCTTATCGACAAGAACCAGAAGACATTTTCACCGTGGAAGTACTCGGTCGCATGTAGCAAGTACAAGACAGGGTAAGTACCTAAGTACTTAGGAAGAGTCATATACCTATGCGAATTTATGCGCTATTGATGGCACATAGATTTAGATATCGGTAAGACAGAACGATGTTCTGATTTTATCATTTACATGGGAGCACTGTGTATAAAGCAATATAATGTGCCGTATGCGTGCATGCATCGAGAGGGAGAGAGAGAGAGAGAGAGAGAGAGAGAGAGAGAGAGAGAGAGAGAGAGAGAGAGAGAGAGAGAGAGAGAGGGGGAGGTAGATGGGAAGATTGAGCCAGTCAACCAGACAGACAGACAGACAGACAGACAGATAGCCAGACAGACAGACAGACAGACAGACAGACAGACAGACAGACAGACAGACAGACAGACAGACAGACAGACAGACAGACAGACAGACAGACAGACAGACAGACAGACAGACAGACAGATAGCCAGACAGACAGACAGACAGACAGACAGACAGACAGACAGACAGACAGACAGACAGACAGACAGACAGACAGACAGACAGACAGACAGACAGACAGACAGACAGACAGACAGACAGACAGACAGACAGACAGACAGACAGACAGACAGACAGACAGACAGACAGACAGACAGACAGACAGACAGACAGACAGACAGACAGACAGACAGACAGACAGACAGACAGACAGACAGACAGACAGATGGACGGACGGACGGACGGGCGGGCGGACGGACGGACGGACGGGCGGACGGACGGACGGACGGACGGACAGGAGGACGGACGAACAGACAGACAGGCAGGCAGACAGACAGACAGACAGACAGGCAGGCAGACAGACAGACAGACAGACAGACAGACAGACAGACAGACAGACAGACAGACAGACAGACAGACAGACAGACAGACAGACAGACAGCCTTTAGGATAGACAGACAGGCAAACGGATAAGACAGACCGGCAGAGGAACGTAGTCTGTATGTGTCGGAGCCTATCTCCCCTGCAAGCTGGCGCTTTTCCATTGTTTTCCCTGCTGTCTGTGGTCGCGTTACTGCACCATTTTCCACAGGATGGCGCGGTACCGCAGTTTGCCGCTAATGGCGCTAGCGTCGTTCCCGGGCAGCGGAAACACGTGGGCGCGCTACCTGATAGAGGGCGCCACCGGCGTCTTCACCGGAAGCGTCTACAACGACCGTGGCCTCGCCGACAACGGTGCGGATGAGCAAGGGGTATCGTCCAGAAAAAAAGAGGTGGCTGCCACATGAGTTGAGTCATGACCTCTTGGAAGAGTGGCATAAGGCACGAAGCTGCAGGGGTCGACCAAGGATTTGTCAATTTCGTTCAGTGTGGGATAAAAGAAGCTGACATTTTGGCCACATTTAAATCTAATTTTACTTTTACGCCTGTGTTGACTGCAGTGGCGCCGGTCAATCTGCGCTGACTGCAATCACACCTCCAGGGTTCTACGGCGAGACGGTCAGCGAGTCATCGGGCCGCACTCTGCTCCAGAAGACGCACGGCTACACGCTGCTGACGGAGCCGACTCCCTCCTGGAGCTCGAGGAGGCGGATGGTGGAGCGGCACGGCCGGCGTGCCGTGGTGCTCATACGCAACCCCTACGAGGCACTCATCTCCCTCCGCAACTTCGCGGCGGGCCACCTCGGCTACGCAGCCGACAAACACTTCCTAGGAGAAAGTTAGTCTCCCTTCGTGGGATTTCAAACCATACAATTTAAAAGTTTGTGTTATATCTAACCAAAATGCCAACCGCAAATAACGGTTTTTTTGCAACATTAATGCCAACATTAATTTGTCAACATTCAGTTTTAGCTAAGAAGTAAATCGCTTAACCCGCGCCCGGCTGGGGGTCCTGGATTTCCACGCCCTGCTGGGGGGGGGGGGTGTTTGAACACCCCCCCCCCCCTGTAACTCGGCTCCTGGGCCACGTAGCGATACGCAGAAGGCGGCGTTCGAAAGAGCGTCAAAAATAATGACGAAATCACTTCGGTCAATTTTTGGTCAGGTCAAAGGTCAGGTCACCAGAGGTCATTGAAGGCAAAATTTCGCCGATTTCCAGGTCGAATGTCGAAAATTTCCAAGAAGCCAACGCATAACTCGGGAACCAATAGAGCTACAGCGCCGCGGAAAAGCGCATTCGATAGCCCTATTAACGCCCTTTCTGAATAATACTCTCAGATTTGACCTAACGTCAACGGTTTTGCCTGCAGGGGGCAAAAACTGCAAAAATAGCCGATTTTTTCGGAAACAGTTTTTCTGCAATAACTTCTGACCCGAGCCTTGTACGAGCTTACTTTCACCGGCATCGTGTTCCTCTTGTCAAGACGCATCGAATGAACTATAACTTGACCTTGAAAGGTCAACTTTAAAATTTGACCTCAGGTCAAGGTCATGACCTGACCGGAAAGGGTCATGCTGCATATCAGTCGATCCGTATCGTCGAGCTGAACACATCTAAGGCGTTTTCATCGCTCTAGCATGCCTCTATCAAAAGTTATTTGCGAAAAACTGTTAGATACCATTCGTGACCTAAGATGACCTCAGGGCATAAACAAGGATCACGGACACCATTTTCATGCTCAGTGTGTCTAAACCACTTGTAATTCGGTGTTTGGGAGTGTTTATAATGTCTTTCATCCAAAAGAGGCGCATTTCAATTTTCTCCCATTGACTTATAATGGGGAGGTCGCAAAATTGACCTGACCTTAGGTCATCGATATCAAAATTCTGAGATATACATTTTGTACATCCTATTGCTCTTAGCAATCGCTGAAAGTTTCAAAGCGATCGGTCACTCGGTGTAGCTATGACAGACATTGAAACTTTTTATGAGGTGAGGTGACTTCAAGTGGCCTGGTGGCCTGACCTTGAATGACCTTGGTCTAAAATTTTCACAACATGTCACATGTGTAGAATTGATGTATGATAAGGTGTACCAAAAACGGCGGCGCTCCGCGCCGCCGTTTTTGAGATATTGGCGAAAAACCACAAGGGGGGTGCTCAAACACCCCCCCCCCCCCCAGCAGGGCGCGGGTTAATAATTGTCTGTTTCATACCCATCTCGCTCAATAAACCTATGAAAGTGCGCTCAGCCAGTTTGAAAACATATCTGACATAAACGCATTGTGTCCGTGCCAAATGATCTTACTGATCTATACGACTGACGCATGCAATCAGGTGCATTTGAGCTTTGTAGTGTGTAGTGTATGCTTTGTCGCTTTCAAAATGGCACTCAGTCCTTGATCAATGTTACAAACGCGCACCTTTTTACAGCATGGAGTTCTTGGGTGACTTTGAAAGCAAATCACTGGCGAGACTTCTATATGGACTGGCTGAATATGACATCGCTGGCACACGTCATTCATTTCGAAAATCTCCGACATGATCCCGTTTCAGAAATGCGGAGACTTTTGCGGTGAGGATATATATTTTGAATGCCATTGTGGTTTGTGCTACATATTTGGGTAAAATCGAACATGATGTAAGTATTTCATAATCGTTTCGTTTCGTTTCGTTTCGTTTATTTAGGGCTTGTCCACAAGTGGCTATTACGGCCCAGTCAATACATGATAGGTACACACACCCACACACACACACATATACATACATACAATATACACATCAATTTATAAAGCAACACCCGCAAAAGCATACATAAAATATCTAAAATCAGTCATGTCACTTGTCAGTCACTATCTAAAGTGCTGCACCAGCTGTCTCCTGGAACCAGTCGCCTTCACCTCCGGCGGCAGGCCGTTCCATGCAGCGGCGGCTCTATACGAAAACAGTCGCCTGGTCGCCGCCAGTCGAACCCGCGGCAGGTCGAGCACAGCTGCGCCCGCAGCCGTGGCCCGCGTGACTCTATTGGAGACGGCGGCACGCGGGCGAAACATGGACCGCAGCGAGTCGGGGGCGCCGGCGGCGTACAAGGCGCGTTGCACGTTCACCGCGTCACGGCGTGCGATGAGCTCACCAATGCCGGGCCAGCCGAGCGCGCCGAGGGCGGGGGTGATGTGGTCGAATTTGCGGAGACCAGAGACGAGCCGTACAGCGAGATGGATGGTCCTCTGCAGCCGGTGCAGGCGGGATTTGGAGGCACCACCCCAGACTGACGAGCAGTACTGGAGGTGGGGGAAAACGTGGGTTTGAACGAGGATTTTAAGGATGTCAGGGGAGAGGTGATGGCGAATTTTGAACAGTGATATAAGGATTCCATTTGACCGCCGAACGATAGAGGATATATGTGGCTCCCAGCTCAGGGTTTGGTCGAGGAGAACACCCAGCACCTTGATGTGTTTTGTTGGCCGAATAGTTGCATCATCTACGTTAAGGGTGAAGTTTTTGACTTTATCAACTTAATTTTGAGTGCCAAGAAGAGTGAAGCAGGTCTTCTCTCCATTCATTTTTAAACTGTTTAAGCTAAACCAGCGTTGAAGTTGCTGAATGTTCTCCTCGGCCCGGGACTTCAGCACTTGGATGCCAGTGGGATTGGAGGGTGCTGAGTCCAGGATTTGGGTGTCATCCGCGTAGGATATGAGTCGGCCATGGGGGAGGAAGCAGGTAAGGTCGTTGACGAAGATGAGGAAGAGGATGGGACCCACGATGGACCCCTGGGGAACACCGTGGGAGAGTGGGAGGGCCGTTGAGGAGCGGATGAGTTGGGAACGGCCAGAGAGGTAGCTGCTGAACCAGCGGGATGAGATGCCATACCACTCGAGCTTGTTCAGAAGCATCGAGTGGTCGACACTGTCGAATGCCTTGCTCAGGTCGACTGACGTCACCGCGGCAACGTCACCACCGTCGACCCTGCGAGCCGCCCATTCGACAATGTCGAGTATGGCATCTTCAGTGGAGTGGGATGGGCGGTAGGCATACTGGGATGGGGAGAGGATGTGGTTAGTGATGAGGTAGGAGGTGAGCTGAGAGCACACAACCTTTTCAAGGATTTTGGAGAGAGATGGGAGGATGGATATGGGGCGGTAGTTGCCAGGCTGGTTGGGGTCACCGGATTTGTGGATTGGTGTGACGATGGCAACTTTCCATGCGTCAGGGAAGGTAAGGGTGGATATGGATGAGTTGATTAGGTGAAGGATGGGCGAAGGATTCATAACTTGGTTCAAAGATGTTTATTGACTATGAATACAGTTGAGTAATCTCTCATAAGCTGCTTATGCCCTATGGCGGCCTTCTTCGGTCAACCGATGATTTGGCATCTTTAAACTATGCCTACTGTTCAGCAGTGACACTGCAGTTGATTTTCAGGTTTGTTGGAATGCCGGAAAACAAAGGCAGACTAAACTGCATCGAGAAATATCCTGAAGGAAGATTCAGAAGGACGTCATCCGGAAGGCAAATATTTCATCATCGGTAAGCACAGATTAAACGGTTGAATTGTTCCATGATAAGAGATTGTTGCCAAAAATGAGATCCTTTGACTACTTCCTGAAAATTGCTTTGATCAATCGATTGAAGATTGATGAAGGATGAGGCATGCTTCAAATTTTGCATAGCTGTTTATGTTACACATTTAGCAACTATTGCAGAAAGACGGACGAGGGCAGATTCCGCGCCCTCTCCCCGCCGCGGTGTCTCTTTTCTCCAGGTAGATGGCAACCAGCTGCTTTCTAGCGTGCAGATGCGGACATACTTCTCAACTCATTTAGTAGCCGATTTTTACGGCTACGATCTTTCTCATCGCCATCTTTTTCTACCGCAGGGATGTGTTTTCTGCCGAGCACCGCGCGCTGCTGGACTCGGCCATTGAGACCGTTCGGACAGCGCTGGAGTCCGGCGACCACCCACCCCTCCCGCTGGCCCGCTACAAGTACTATCGTCCGGTGCAGAGCAGAGATGGGCCCGGCACCTTCAGCGGGGTATCGAACACCTGACGGCGGGACACGAGGTGACCGCGGCAGCGGTTTACCAGCTACCGAGCAGCTACTCGTATATAACGTGCGGTTGAGGCTATTAGCCACATGATCATTAGACGAGTGACGACATGACGCCGGATCCGACCACTCTGCCCGCATACATCCAAGGTCCTTCGAGACGCTCCACGGAATCAGCTACTTTATGTACAGGGTGGGCCAAAAAAAGTGTGTCACTTTTGAGCAGTAATTTCTCGAAAGTGGTAAAAGATACGAAAAAGAAACTTTCACAACTTAAAGAAAATCGTTTGACAAATTATATGATACCAATTTTATGGAAAAGTTTCAATCGAACTGACGTTATCATCATCATTTCAAAAAGCGGAATCTGTGCGTCTCTTTATTTGCGCATGTGCTCGAAGTGGGCACCGCTAAGCTGAAGGCCATCCGGACACGCGCTCAGAAGCTGACGCCCACCCTCTTCGCGGTGGCTGCTGTCACTTCACGCACGTATTGATCGACGCTGACACGCAGCTCCTCCAGGCTACCGGGCTTGTTGCGATAGACGCTGTCCTTGCAGGCTCCCCAAAACCAGTAGTCCAGCGGGTTAAGGTCAGGACTGTGAGGCTGAGGAGCCCAGTGCTTTTCGCTTCACTTGGAGATCACGCGGCAACCGAAGAGCTCTTGGAGCAGCTGCAGTGTCTCTCGGACCGTGTGCGGTGGCGCTACATCTTGCATGAACAAAGCTTGTAGCGTGATCACCAAGGGAAACGAAAAGCAGTGGGCTCCTCACAGTCCTGACCTCAACCCACTGGACTGCAAGTTTTGGGGAGCCTGCAAGGACAGCGACAGCGTCTACCACAACAGGCCCGGTAGCCTGGAGGAGCTGCGTCTCAGCGTCGAGCAGTACGTGCGTGTTGTGCCAGCAGGCACCGCGGAGAGGGTGGGCGCCAGTTTCCTGGAGCGTGTTCAGACGTGCCTTGAGCGTTGAGGTGCCCACTTCGAGCACATGCGCAAACGTAAAAGACGCACATATCCCTTTTTTGAAATGGTGATGGCAACATCAGTTCAACTGAAACTTTTTCATAAAATGGGTATCATATAATTTGTCAAACGATTTTCTTTAAGTTGTGAAAGTTTCTTTTTGCTATCTCTTACCACTTTCGAGAAATAGCTGTTGAAAAGTGACACACTTTTTTTGGCCCACCCTATACCTGTCTCCGTAAAATGTGAAGGGTGATGGCCAATGACATCACGACATTGCTGCTGAGGAATTGTCTCTGAATCACCCGACTGTGCATGTGCTCCGGTCGTCCTATACCTATAGGGCAATCACGTTTTTAAAATATAAATTGTTATTTATGTCCAGACTGCAGCGTACATGTCTCTCTATAGTTCTGAGCAGACGACGGACGGAGCATGCTCTGACGAAATCAACCATCCATATCGATTATTCTTTCACCTGTCGACAGGGGAAAGATAAGATAGATGCCGTTTTGCGGCCAGTGATCCACGATTGCATTTTTTCTCTAGGCTAACCGGATCAATCCGGTAATCTGTTATCGCTCCAGTCCCGTTCTCATGACCTTTGACAGGCCACCGAGAGGCCCCCGTTCTACGACTCCCTCTGACTACCCTCGTTATCTCCACAGACAGATTAGGCGCTGCCAGCGGCGTCCGATTCGGCGTCGGCGGCCGCTTGTAGGTATCAGTGACACGCCTATCACCTCGGCTTGCCGACCCCAGCGGGGGTCGCCGTTGGTAGCCGGGTACCAAGCGACGCTGACCGCCGTCCCCACTGACGCACATCTGGGGGATTAGTGCGGGGAACGCAGTGGGAAGTCCGTCCACTTTCTTTGCCGAAGAGCGTAATGAGCCCTTTCGACTTGACCCGCATTACTGAGGACAGGCTCGATTGATTGATGAGGAGGCCGTGACAGACCCGACAGACCTCTGACGGCCGGCCATTCAAAGCAATTTGTCGAAATTTACCTTCATAACGTGAGCAACGTCGTGGGTGCCTCTGACTGAACCATGCTTGTAGAATCACATTCAAGTAAATGAATAAATATCCTTCCATTAACATGGCAATCACTGAAACAGCGGGATGTGGCGAGAAAGGAATCACATCAATTTAAAAGTGTGCTATTTCGTTTATTTTCTTCTAACTATGGCGACGTTATTTTGAACTCGACTGGTTAAATCTCCGTCCCCGAGCCCTGCGGTCCGCCGTGTGCGTGGCGTACTGCCGCCGGCTACGAGAGGTCGGGCGGAACGATTCCCCGCAGCCGTGCCAGGCCAGACTTTGGCCGCCTAGCCCGGCTTTGGCTCGGGCGCCGGCTACCGTGCGCCCTTCGTCATTCGCCGCGGAGCTCTCAGTCGAGAACGTTCGTTTGTACTTTGTAGGCCATGGGTGTTTGTTAGTTACCCATATTCGTATTCCGTGCGTCATGTGAATCATATTCCAGTTTCAAAAATGTTTTTATACATAACATGTTTATTACAAAGTATACAGTATTTACAAGCAGGGAAACCCCTGACAGCACGTCTGGACGGGCTCTTGGCACAGCAGTCGCGGCCTGCCGGCGGATCAGTCGAGGCTCGAGGATCACGCGATCTCAGACCAGTGCCGCCAGTACGGGAACCGGGGCAGGCACCGCACCGTCCTCTGCTTCGTCTTGGGCAGCAGCAGAGTCCGTCGCAGCGCGGCCACCTTCTTCGGGTCCGTCAGCCGCTTCTCCGGGAGCTTTGGGACCACGGCCTGCTTGGCAGGTGCCCTCCGCTTCGCTGTGAACAGATCATGCAATATATTAGACAGACATTCAGAATTGCTACGGTACGCTGAATGAGTGCACATTTTTAGCACTTCAGGAGCTTTGAGGAACAAAATACGAACAGATGCTATGCAATTAGACAGACTTTGAACTATTTCGCAATTAATTTTGGTCTGAGGTGAAAGGTCCATTACAGTTTATGAAGGTCCGCTGTTGTTTTCGATAGCTCGCAAATACATAGTTTAGTATTGGGACACGAACTTATCAGGCTATGTGCCAGCCTAGACATCAGAGCAACATTGACATACCCTTTGCTGATCCAGTAAGGTTTCCACCTTTAGCGAGCGTCGGCTTCTTGAAGTCAGGTCTGCTCTCCAGCTTCACGAGCTTGACGCGCAGCGTTTTCAGCGGCACCGTCTCCCTCGGGCCGGTCAGCGACGGCTTCGGAGGGCTGTAGAGCTGCAGTAGATCGGGCGACCGCCTCAGCTCCTCGTCCTGCAGCTCTTCCGGCTGCAACAGAACGCACAATAAGATTAGTAAAAATATAGTGTTTCCTGTGCTAACCAGAAGGACATTGCAGGCTGAACTCTCGAATGTAATCGTAATTCCAGCATAATATAGACATTGGATAGAAGGCTCTATAGTCAACCTTAATTGAGCATTAAAATTAAGAATCTGAACAGTGCACACTTGACACAAGGACGTTTGAAAGACTTATGTTAATTAAGTGAGGCTCCCAGAATTAAACATTTACTTTGAGAGATGCAAATGAGAATTACAAATAATACCCTATGATTTGTAGATATGCAACCGCTTAGGTTTAATTTCAAGGCACTGCCTTGCACTTAACTTCCCCTGCGAGCTTACCGTCAGAAAATACGAGAAGTCTGGCCGAAAATCGTCCTCCGTCCACTCGCACTTTGCGGTCTTCCGTTTCAACTTCGGGATCTTGAAGGTAGGCTGTAAAAGAAAGAAATAACGAAAATGTTAGTGTTTTAGTTAAAATTAACCTATAAGCATTTTTTATAAACTTAAATCGTGATGCAGATAACGGATAAAAGGGCTAGGGCAATTGAAGAAAAGCACTACGAGAAAAAATGTCTGGTACCTATATATTTGACAAGAGATATAAGTACAGGGTGTCCCAAAAGTTCGTTCTCACCTAAATTTTACGTTTTTAGGCTCTCTTGCTTAAAGGCACGCTGAAATTGGTTCGTAATTGAGCTTACGTGGTTGCCATGGCTAGTAGAAATATGCTCCACAGTAGCTAATTTCTGTAGACAAAATAGTTTTTGCTAGAGAGCCCGCTTCCTACAGAGACGGCTAACGCCACAACATAGAGGTCTCTGATACGGGTACGTCTCAGTATTTAGTCAGCACGTGACCATTCGCGACGATTGAGGGTGATTGAGGCCTACCAGTCTGCAGCCAATGTCCATCGCTAACTGGACGCACAGTCAGCAAGTGACGCCGATGATTTGTCGGGAGTCAATCACTGCAAGTTTATCCTCTTTCCAGTCAGCCCTCAGGAGTGAGCCAAGTGGCCAAAACTGTGTGGCGCCAAAGTGGCCATCAAAAAGGTCAACGGGTTAGAAAGTTGGTAAGCAGACTTTTCAGGATGGATTACCAGCTGTTTAAGAGTGTTCTTTCGGGGTACATAACTCAAGGTGACTTAAGCTTTGCTTACCGGAGGGCACAAAACAACCAAAAACGTCTTAAAATGGCCAAACATGAGTTTCGTTATGCCTTAGGCTAAACAAAACTAGAGGGCTGATGACATCAACCAGGTCATCTGGACTAACTAGTCCACGTTCGAGATGAAACACCCGTCCAAACCCGAAACCAACCCCATAAGGGCGAAGGAGGAGGCCTCCGTTTCGTCCCGTTATGCTCCTATGCAAAAGGCCAGGGTCACTGTATTGTGGGATTATAGGCTTTCTGGAGTTGACCAAGCTGCAAGTGGCAACCCAGAAACAGTTTTGGGAAGCAGAATGCTTTTCCAAGAACATCTAGGAGGATTTTCAGCCCTCAAGCTGAACTCGAACCGCGAGTATGAACACATTTATAGAGGAGAAAATGGCATCCGGGAGGTCGTAGGCCCATCTTCAGGCAAGACAGTGCATCAGTGCACAGGTCAAGCAAAGCTTAAAAGCGGTGCAAGGAGACTGTGACAGGCGTTTGTGGCAAGATCACATGCCAGGCACTTCATCGGATCAAAATTTCATAAAAATTTGCTGGTTATGCTGAAATTGAGGCTCGTCGAAGCGTAGCGCTGTTCCAGCCTCGAGGAGCTCACGGCGCATGTCAAGTCAGTCTGGGTTAACTTAAAGCCTGCTATGCAGCCAAACATGCCGGTTGGCATGCCGCTGCATGTATTCATGTGTTTGCCTATTACGAGGGGGTATCGAAAAGTTCTGATCATCACATAGAAGATATAGACCGATTTTGATGATTTTTGGTTGGTAGTATACTTGGTTCTTAAGAACAATGCTCCCGCAAAGAGAATCCTGAGAAGTGGTTTTATCTTATGTAGGGGAGACTTAGAAGTAAAAAAGATGAGTATTGGGCCCATTGAGGACCGAACCGTCATCCTACTAATGCATTTGAAACGGTATCACACTGAGAAAATACACCAAGAACGTGAAATTAGTTTATGGCGAGGAAAGACCATCTCATGCACTTACCGAAAATGAAGAAATAATTTTCAACTTGGTTGCATGGCCCTTGCAGGGGAGTCTAGAAGTGAGT